ATTGTTGATTCCAAGTGGATAAGCCACTACTTAATTAATTAATTAATTAATTAATTAATTAATTAATTTTTTAATTTCAAAAGAAAATAAAATAGTTTTTCAATTACTTATACCCTTAACACGTAGTAAAATGGTAATATGTTTAAATTAATAAATCGTCCAATGAAGGATAAATTATGCTGATGTTCATTATTGAGTTTCATTTCATTAAAATTAGATAGATCTCTCGTTTTTTTATAATTTATTTTTATATAATTTAAAAAATGAATTACACAACTCTTTAACAGCATGCACAAGGTTTTTTAAAGAGAAAAAAATATTTATAATTCTAATCAAAGTTATCAAAATTTAAAAATTATGAAAAAATTCTTACATCTCGAGGATTTAAATATATTTGATCACTGTTAAAACTTTAGATCGGAATATCGTCCACTTACGACACAGACACTAATCTTCTTCGAAGTACAGAAATTAAATGAAATCACATCATTGATTCTTTCTCCAAACTAATTTACTGGATTATGTGTAAGAGTTATAGAAGTTAAGCCTTCAAATTTTACGCTAAGGCAATGTCTAGTATATAGACAGATATATTTTAGAACGAAAATACTAAATGTATTTTGAAAGGGAAAAAAAATATGTGCATTGTCTTTTCTTTTTTTTAGAAAATACTTTTCCACCTACTAAACATTTTATCATAAGTAAATATCAAAGCTACGTACAAACACAGGAAGGGCTCAGCTGAATAGATTGGATCGTTTGAATTGCATATAATGAAGCTTCAATTTGTTATCCCACAACTCTGGTTTTACACCCACGTTTGAACAGTCCCGTGAAGACACAAAGAACCACCGACACACCAACATAAATGAACATAGCATCCCACGTGGTTCATTGAATTGAACCTCTTTTCTTGACTTTTAATCTTGGGTTCACATGCGTGCGTTTAGGCATTACCATGTAAATGTAACAGGAACGTACGAACAAGATATCGATATGCTGCTAGTATGTATAAATGCGATGGTGTGCTCGTTCACTACTAGCACACAGTGCAAGACTACCAACGATATGATTGAAACAAATTATTGAGATTGAAATCATCCTTGGAAATACTCCAAACCTTTCAGTTTATGCCCGTCTTGCTCTCCAATCCTCAGATAACAATCGTACATTCCACACTTGTATGACTATTTAGCCCCTATATATAATGCATATTCATAACTACCAAACTTGTTCCATCGTGGAGAATTCTTATTTTTATTAGTGAGTAACCATCCAAAAACGAAGGGAGAGAACAAATAGGTGAAAAGTGATTGAAGAACATCACCAAATCTTAATTCCATACTGCTTAAGTTTATGGATACTTTAATTATGATATCACTTGATAAGAATAGAGGTCGACCACTCAAAAATAAAAGAAAATAACAAATGGATAAAGAGTAACGAAATGACACCATATTTTAACCCAAAATTTTAAAATATAAATTTATGAGTTCTTTTTTATTTTAGGGATAATGAAATTTTTAGTTCCTCAAATTTGTCACTGCTGTCAATTTAATCCCTTAAATTTAATTTTTATCAATTTCATCCCTTATGCTTTTTAAATTATCATGTAAGTCCTTTAAATTTTAAAACACATATTGAATTTTAAAATAATTTAATATGTAAAACATATTGATGATTTGATATATATATATATATATATATATGTTAAATGAGAATAAATTAATCTCTTACAATGTGTTTTGTTCTTTTAAAAAAAACTTTAGCATTTAGTTTTTCAAACCTAAATAATTATATTAATTTTCATTAATCTACATGATTATCATCAATATTCTATTATCTAAGTTAGCAAATTTTAACAATACAACTTATTTTTAAATAATAAGAACCAAATCAATAATTAAAATAAATTTAAGGGACTACATTAATAGAAATTAAACTTGAGAGATCAAATTAATAATTGAGACAAATATATGAAAAAATTAAAAATTGCATTATCCTGTTATTTTATATTAAGTATTAAATTTGATTTTATTTGATATGAAATTTTTCATGTCGCTTCAAGTTCACTTATGCTTGTGCATCCTATCATTTTAGTGTATTTATTCAGTCACATTCTTTATTTTTTTTATAAAAAAATCAATTAACGAGCAAGTTTGATACATTTAGCAAATATATGCCTACACTTCTACGTATAATTGTACAACCCTGCTATTATCAAATACAATCGTGTTTCAACAGCAAACATGGCACATCATGGATGTCCACGTCCATGTCTAGAGTTGAATATGACGTGTTTTTCATTGGAGTAATTAAAATGAGAAAAAAAAAGATGTGAAGATTTTGAATTCTCTAGATTAATTACCCCATCATATACGATAAAAATATAGTTTTTTTAAATAATATTTATCGATGGAATTAAAAACAAAAAGATTCAAAATTTATCTCGTTAATTGAATAGGGAGCAACAGACAAGGGGGGGATTTTGCGTCGAAGAAAAGAACCGTGAGCTGCAACGACATGGAAAGTTAAAAAGAAAGAAAGAAAAGCTGCCGCCAAAGAATGTGGAAGAGACCGTTAAGAGAGTGCCACGTTGACCAATGAGAATGCAGATAATTAAACCGTCTCTCACGTTTGAGGTCTCACCACCCGTTTAGCGCCACGTAGCGACCGGACATGAGAAACCGACCCTTCAACGACAGTCAAAAGTTGATGTCTTCGTCCACTCTTGCTTAAAACGACAGCTCGTTCCGCTGGTCGGCCCACTTCAAATCAACCTCGTGCCAACACGTTATTCCTCACGAAACACTCAAACCGACAAAAGTCTATCACACTGATCTTCCCCTTTGATATTTTTCTAATATTCCCTGTGCCTTACTTTTGATTTTCATTCGCATTATGGTGACTATGGAAATTTCTTAGAACCTTCACTGCCACTGCAATTCCATAACCTGTGACTCACGTGGAATATTTATTTCTTGTTTTTTTTTTGAAGATCCATTTTTTAGTTTCTCTTTCTGCTTCCCTCTTTAGATTTCGTGTCAACAATAGTCATAAAAAAAAAAATCTTTGGTTTTTCTTTAAATCTCTGCCATGCATCAGAAAAACCACAACTAAGCTTTTGTTTGTATGATGATACTACTAAGGATGCTTTCCTACAAAGAGATGTGTTGATTGTTGTTTGTATTTATGTTTGTTTAGCGAACGTAAATGGCTAGTATTGAAAAATTGAACTTGTCCAACTTGAAGCATCAGTGCTCCTTGCCTTGGAAAGACTATCAATGAAAGATCCAAAAATAATTTATGTTTTAGAAAAATATTGGCAAATCTAATATTTGTTAAAGTAATAATTTCACTTGTCAATTTATTAAGTTTATTTTTCAGTGATTCTTTTAAGAAACTTAATTTTTTTTAAGGATCCTTCATTAATATTATACTTGATTTACATGGATTGTCAATGCATCTAGGAAAAAAATCTAATTTTTTTAATTTATGGAAGAGGAAAGGTATTTCTGACGGCAGGAAAAATTCTAAGAACAGTCTCGAGAATCTCATATTTCATTAAAACCAATGCCCATATTTTTTAGAGAACTAAAATGAAAAAAACAAAACTTACTGACAAAAGGAATTTTCAAGTGATAGGAAATCAATTTGGAAGAACAAGAGTTATCGAATACGATAGGCCCAGTCCCTAAACTTCCCGTCGAACATCATCATTGGGCTTCAAAAAAGGGGCCCGTATGGTTTAGAGATTTGGAGTTATCTTTTGATAAAGAGGAACAATATTTTTTTTTTGGGTTAAAATAAAGAGAACAAGTTGATAATTGAATTGTGAGCTAAACTTTATAAAATCCCAATCCAAGAGTTCCCGGTCCCCAAATTGAGCCCAGGCATTCATTAAAACAGAAACAAGTTGTTTATGAATTGGCGAATCTGATGAATTTGTCCAGCTTCAGGAATTGGTGGTTCTTGCTTCACATTTTACATGGCTTGTCATGCATCTATAATTAATTAACAAACTATAAGGAATATATCAAGCAAATATATAAAACGCACTTATGGATGCGTTGATTGAAAATATGGGAACACAAATGGTTTTTCTAAGTCTTGGCCTATCTCATGAGTGGCATCAAACGGGTAATTTTCTTATTAAGCTTGAAGCAGGGCACGCAACACCATAAATCAGATCCAGCGGTTGAAGCTTACAAGTTACAAGCATTTGCTTTAATTTGCCCAAAAAAGGAGAGTGGTTGAAGATCTTCCCCAAGATTTGTAACCGTTGTGTAAAACGTAAAACTGGAGACAATAAGTTAATTATATACAGGAGTAAAATTACAAGCTTTTTATCAACTATATATAGTTTACGCGAGTGCTAGCACTAATAAAACTTTCGTCACTTAAAAAGGTTTACCCTTTTCCTTTAGTATCTCAGGAGAGATTTTTGGCTATCAACAAAGCCTACTCCTTATAGGTCATTTTAACACTCATGGTAAATTTGAAGAAATAATATAAATAGAGTGGATATGAGTGGACAATGAGTAGTCCTTTGCTTTATACAAACGCTCATGCAAGATGACGCAAATAAATGAGTATCATTACACCTTAACCAAAAATCTTAAAACATTAAATTTATGAATCTTTTCATTTATATATCTTTTTTTCTTTTTTTCAAGTTAACTTTATTTGATGTGATACTTGTCCTTACACCAAACCAAATGTGTTCATACTTAACATCTCAGCACACTTCTATGCATATATTTTGTTGCCCAGAAAACGTGATTTATACGCAAGAGGTGGAAAATCGACTTGACTTAGATAATCTACATCTTAATGTTGATTATTTGTTAATAGAAGAGTGACATGCATGAGTTCGTCTGCTTTTCTTTTTTCCTCACTTCACATTGTAGTGATTACATTGTTGATCAAGAATTAATTGGTATATAATAAATAACCCCCTTGAAATACATTATTTGCCAGGAAGTGTAATTTAGAAAAGGATATAAGTAGTGGAAGGTCTTGACTTAGGTTTGCAGATGCAATATTTACGTTAAAAAGCTGTCTTGACTGAGTCTGTGAAAAATTAAAACTTAATGGCGTGATGGGTGAGTTGATAAGTCCCCCAGCCCCTCTTTTCACACATTGACGTGATTAGGGGGAAGACGAATTAGTAAAAAAGTAAATCATTTTCGTTTTGAAAAGTAAATTATTATCAATAGAAGTTTTGATTCAGTAGGAGTAATCCAAGTTCTCTGAGAGAGTGAGCATGCATCCAAACAGTCTAAAATTGCTTCAAACCATATTCTTGGTTTGGGTTTCGCACGTGCAGGTTTTGCAGGTGATATCTGGAAGCATCGGGTGCAAAGAGAGGGAGAGGCAAGCACTTTTGGAGCTGAAGAAAGGGTTTGTGGATGACTACGGCATTTTATCTTCATGGAGTCAACATGGAGACTCTGATACTGATTGTTGCAGCTGGTGGGGTATTGAGTGTAGCAATCACACAGGCCATGTTCTGATCCTCGATCTTCGTCCTCGTGACTATGACAAATCTTTGAGAGGTGAGATTAGTGCGTCACTGGTGGAACTGCAACATTTAAATTATTTGGATCTCAGTTGGAATCATTTCCGTGGAAACCCAATCCCAGAATTTATTGGCTCTCTTGTTAAATTAAGGCACCTTTACCTGTCCCATGCTTCTTTCGGTGGAAAAATTCCTTATCAATTGGGAAACCTTTCAAACTTAGAAGTTCTTCACCTCTATGTAAACGATCTAATAGGAGAAATTCCTTGGGAATTGGGAAATCTTCTCAATTTGCAACAACTTATGCTCCAATTCAACCACCTAGGTGGCTTAATTCCTTATCAACTTGGTAATCTTTCAAGATTAGAGGTTCTTCATCTTGGTTCAAATGATAATCTTCAAATTGAGAACATTCAATGGATTTCTCATCTTTCTTCTCTAACCAGTCTTGATATAGGTGATCAATCAAATCTTAGAAAATCCAAAAACTGGTTGCAAATAATTGGTCAGCTGCCAAACCTACAAATTCTAAGTTTATCTAACTGCAATCTTTCATATATGGATCTTCTTTTGGTGCATCCTTCCCAGCTCAACATTTCTAATTCTCTAGCTCAACTTGACCTATCTGGCAACATGTTTACATCATCCATATTTCCATGGTTGTTCCATTTGAACTCTAGTCTTGATTACCTTGACCTCAATTCAAACCTCTTGGAAGGTCCCATTCCAGATGATCTGGGCAAAATAATGAACTCCCTTCAAACATTGCATCTCAATGGCAATCAATTAAATGGAACCTTGCCAAAAACAATTGCAAATCTATTAGAATTGAACGATATTAATGTTGCAAGCAATTTTTTGGAAGGTGGGATCACAAACTTGGCCTCTTTTGCCAATCTCACAAATTTGAAGCTCTTGGATTTATCTAGGAACTCTTTTACATTGAAATTTAGCAACAATTGGATTCCTCAATTTCAATTGGCACAATTTGTAGTCCAATCTTGCACATTGGGTCCTTCCATTCCGAAATGGCTTCAAACACAGAATGACCTAAACTATCTAGATGTTTCAGATACCAGGATTTCAGACATGGCAACAGCAACTGCTTTTCTATGCTCTAACAAAAGAAGATTGAACTTTTTGAACATGTCAAGTAATCACTTCAAAGGACAACTTCCAAATTGTTGGAATCAGTTAGCATCATTGAGAATTCTTGATCTGAGCAATAATGAGTTCTTTGGAGAGATTCCAAGCTCTATGGGCTCCTTGCATTTGATGCGTCACTTAATTTTACGTGGCAATCACTTCACAGGTCAAATTCCATCTTTGAAAAATTGCACTCAGTTAGTAATGTTGGATGTGGGACGAAATAAATTGTCAGGACCCATACCTCTATGGATAGGATATAACCTTCAAAATTTGCAAGTACTTAGCATGAGGAAGAACCACTTTCATGGGAGCTTGCCGTTGCATCTCTGTCACCTAAAAACTATTCAGGTTTTGGATCTTTCAATGAATAACTTGTCCGGAAAAATACCAAAATGTCTCCAAAACTTCTCAGCAATGGCTCAAAAACCTACATCTACTATTGGCATCGATGAATTCTACACCTTTATAAATGGCTCACCTTCGTATTTTTTTCTTTATGATTTTTATCCGACAGTTAGGTGGAAAGGAAAGGAATTGTCATTCAAGGACAATAAAAGACTTCTGAAGCTCATTGATATATCTGTCAATGAACTGTATGGGAAAATTCCAATAGAAATTGGAAATCTCTCGGAACTTGTATCCTTAGATTTATCAAGCAACAATTTGAGTGGTGAAATCCCTAGGGAGCTTGGAAATCTACATGACCTTGAATTTCTTGATTTATCAACAAACCATCTGTCTGGAACAATTCCTTCAAGTCTTTCTAAAATTAATTGGCTTTCTGTTTTGAACTTATCAAACAACAACTTGTCTGGAAAAATTCCATCTGGAACACAACTTCAAGGTTTTGATGCATCTTCTTATGATGGAAATCCATATCTTTGTGGGAGTCCACTGAAAAGGCTCTGTCCAAATGAAGGATCAGAACCTCCATTGAATTTTGGGAAACATGAGGACGAGAAAGATGATTCATTTTTCACTCAGGGATTTTACATAAGCATGGGTTTGGGATTTGTTACTGGATTTTGGGCCATCTTCGGCTCATTGCTCATATTCCGTTCTTGGAGGCATGCTTACTTCACCTTCCTGAATAATTTGTATGAGAGAATTGTTGTGGTCACAATAATCAACTTAGCAAGGTGCCGCAGGCTGCTTAGAAGATAAGTGGTAATAATCCCCTCCCTTTTAAATTTGTTTTCAATCTATTTTTTTTTTAAGTTCCTATATAATTATTCTCTTTTTAAAAATGAAGAGTTTTCTACTCATTGGATCGATTCAATATTATATCTCATTTATTACGTGTTCACTGGCTATGGTGTTCATTGAGATGTTGATTTTTTGAATGCTAATAAGTAAAAGCAGGATGGCCAGAGAGGAGCCTCAACCATTGGAAGCTGGAAGCTCGAAAGTGTGTTTTTGTTGGTGTGGAAGATCACGTCTGTAATACTCTGAAGCATTCTGTAGAATAGGTGTGGAAGATCACCATAGGAATAAATCATCTTTCGTGGATTCAGTAATTGTTATACTTTGTTAATTTGTGCTGTGAATCTTCTCTTTTCATGTCTGTGATGATTGCAAGTTGCTCTGTTTTATCAAATAATTTCCTCTGCTACTAGATCTCTCTTTTGGGCAAGAATTTGCTTCTTCCTTAAACTTGACCGAGATCTTTTTCTTTGTTATACTTAAGTCAACCAGTTTTTTTGGGTTAAGTTGTCACGCTTCTTGTATTCCAAAAAAACTCAAAACTACTCCAATCAAGAGACACACATGCACCATTATCTGAAACAGAGGGAATAATGTTTTTATGAATTCAAAATAAAAAATTTCTATCCATGTTCATCTGTTCTCTGTTGATCTAGTTAATAACACTCTAATAGTTAATTTCTCATTTAGCTTGAAGCACTGGGCAAAACCCCACTATTCAACATTGTGAAACATAATTGAAGTACAATTAATCTGTTAGGGAACGCAACGACAAAGTTGAGGCTTTTTTTTTTTTTGGGCTAAAAATTGAGGCTGTTATTTATGAGGGAAATGCTCAATGCATCTTCGGGTCCAATGGCTTTGGAAGTCTCCACTTTTGAAACTTCACTGCAATGAGATCTAATCACGAGTTGATCTTTTCAAAAATGGAATGAGTCTTTTCATCAGTCAGTCCTTAATTTTATCAGTTTCATGGATTGTAAGGACTCGTTTTAATCCATAGCAGCTTCTACCAAGTGCTCCTCTTCATGTCTGATACAGATTTAATAGTCATCTGGTTTGAAAAGTCTGTGTTTGGGCTTAAAATGTTGTCTTGTGAAGAACAGTCTGAAAAAAGGGTTTAGAATTTAGATTCCTTCACCTTCCCCTAGAATTCACGTTATTTGGGTTTGAGCTCTCAATTTTTGACTTTGACAATTGCTAAGACTATTCAAAATCAACGCATGCATTTTGTCCATTTCTGCACATTTCTTCTTCACAAGCAGCTAAACAATGAGTCAATGACCACCAAATCGAGTCATAACTAATAGAAAGAATAAAATTTAATGATCATTTAAAAAATTTATTCATAAAAAATGGTTAATACAAGATAGATTGTTATTAAAATGAAGATTTGGCACTTGCTTTTTTTTTTTTAACAAAACTTGTTAGTTTTTGTTTATGAATAATTTGTTTGAATAGTCCTTGATTTTATCTAGTTAATATGTAAATATCATTGGGAACTGTGTTATATATAATATAGTCTCAGAAGATAATATGACAATAATTAAAAAGTTAAAACCAATATCACATAACAAAAGTCTGGAAGAAAATATGATTGGAAAGTGTATTATAGGCAATACAATTTCTCTCCTAATTAATTTGAATTAATCTTTCCTGCATGTGGTCATGCTCAAATCTTATCCAAGACTAAATCCAAAGACAAGCTCAAAGGAAGAGTCGACATCTTCAGACAAACGTTGGATATGGACATCTCAGTAAAGGGCATCTGGAAATATCCCTCTCTTTTATTTTTTTAAAATTGACTAATCAGAGTTTTCCAAACGTAAGTTGGTACGATTTTGTCCATCTAAAAGTGAATCACCCCATCCATCACGTAAAGTTGTCAAAATCATATATGCCAAAGCAAAATTTTATATTTTTTAATTTATATGTATTGAAGGATTTTCCATTTTCATTTCTTTTTTTATTTAGTATTACTTTATATTTGTCATTTTCAACCTGTTCTATTAATTTATTTTTGGGGAGAATTTCAAAAATAAATATATGAGCTAACACATTTTCTATGGTTTTTGAGTCACCGATTTCTTAAAACAGTATGATGATACTACTAAGGATGCTTTCCTACAAAGAGATGTGTTGATTTCTGTTTGTATTTATGTTTGTTTAGCGCAAATGACTAGTATTGAAAAAATTGAACTTGTCCAACTTGAAGCCTCAGTGCTCCTTGCCTTGGGGAGAACATCAATGAAAGATCCAAAAATATTTTATGTTTTAGAGAAATATTGGCAAATCTAATATTTGTTAAAGCAATAATTTCACTTGTCAATTTATTAAGTTTATTTTTCAGTGATTCTTTTAAGAAACTTAATTTTTTTTAGGGATCCTTCATTAATATTATACTTGATTTACATGGATTGTCAATGCATCTAGGAAAAAAAAATCTAATTTTTTTAAATTTATGGAAGAGGAAAGGTATTTCTGACGGCAGGAAAAATTCTAAGAACAGTCTCGAGTAATCTCATATTTCATTACAACCAATGCCCATATTTTTTAGAGAACTAAAATGAAGAAAAAAAAAAACAAAACTTACTAAAATGTTGACAAAACGAATTTTCAAGTGATAGGAAATCAATTTAGAAGAACAAGAGTTGTCGAATACGATAGGCCCAACCCTATCCTTCCTGTCCAGCATTATCATTGGGCTTCAAAAAATGGGCCCGTACCAATGGCCTGTATCGCTTAGAGACTTGGAGTTATCTTTTGATAAAGAGGATTTTGGTTGGGTTAGAATGAAGAGAACAAGTTCATAATCGAATTGTGACCTAAACTTTATAAAATCCCAATCCAAGATTTCGTGGTCCCCAAATTAAGTTGATCTGCACAAGGCCTTCTAAGTGTCTGTATAGTACAATTGAGCCCAGGTATTCATTGAAGAAGGAACAAGTTGTTTTTGAATTGGCGAATCTGATGAATTTGTATAGCTTCAAGATTTGGTAACAAATCATGTCGAAGCTCTTGATAATAGTATTAATTAAAATAATTTATTTAGAGCTATTAGTAATTCTAGTAAAAAGAAGTAAAAGGTGAGTTCCAAAAAAACAAAAGATAAAGACTCTGACTAAGCTAATATCAAGGGGGTCATAACAAATGCTACAGAAGCTATTAGGAAATGAAATTAAATAATAAGAGAAAGCTTTAAAAAGCTCCCACAATTGTCTGGAGAATAAATTTGGAATATGATTAAGGGTTGTGGCTTTCCACCAACCAATATTATCAAGATTTATAGAGTTCTTATGGGTAATATTGACCACCTAAGGAGATTTGTAAAATGCCCCATTGATGCATGTGAGAAATTACTACTAGAAATTATGAAAGACATTTGAATGTCCTTTTATTTCCTTTTAAGCACCATTTCTATTGTTATATGGCACTATAACATTGTTATGGTTATCATGTGATTTTGATATTTTAAATATTTTTTATATTTTATAGAATTACTTATAGGAGAATATTGTTATGACTTTTGCTAGTATGTTATTTTGATATTTTAAATATTTTTTTATATTTTATAGAATTACCTATATTCTTTATATGTTATCAAATTTTGCCTTACCATGTTCCATAATTACAATGCCCCAGGCCATAATGTTTTTTTTAAATTATGTATGTAATTAAGTGTTTTTTTAAAATTTATTTATTTTAGAAAATGCTATATTTGTGTCATGATTTTTCACCATGACCCTAGGAATGTGTTCTATAAAAATTAAAAAAATTAGAAAATGTACTTAAATAGCAAATATATAAGTAAAGGTATATTTGACAATTTCATAATTACCTCCCCCAGTCCTCCAAAACTATATAAGAATTATTAAAACACCTCTCCTTCCTTGCAATCAAACAAGTATTATTAAGTCACATCCCCTCCACTCCTTTTCCATCACCTAACCTCCCCTTCCCCCTCCTCCGTTGAACCAAACACTATATAAGCATCATTTTAAGGTTTGAATTTTAGATATGTGCATAGAAAAATATTACTTAAAAGAGGATAATTATTTAAATGGCGCTTAATTTTTTCAGGGGATTATTCTCATAGTCATCGATTGTAAGAATACTTTGGACAACAAAAAAGGAAAAATTAAAAAAAAGAAAGTGACAAAGTGAACCCAAAATATATACAAAGCGAGCCCTTTCTTTCGTTATTTTCTTTATTGTTTAATTATTGCTTCTTTATTATTATATTTATATAAAAAGTCTATGATTATCGCTTGGATTTGCAAGCTAATTAATAATACCATATTTTGATTTAAAAAACATAAACATTGTGACATGGATGCTTTAGTTTTTGTATAAATAATGAGTTAGTCATGACATTGGTCCACGATTGTGTACGCAAATTTCAAATCGTTGATCTGATTTTTTTTTCCTTTTTTTTATTATTGGATGGATTCATCACCCCAAGTTACCCCTTGCAATTACATAGTCAAATGAACTTCATCACCTTGATCTAAACCTAAACATTCTACGATTCCTATCATCTTTCTTTTTATATTTTGAATTTTGACCCTAAAAACTAATAAAAGAAATTATCTAACTGATGACAAAAATGTTAAGTATCTCAGATATCATAAATTGCAGCGTGCATATACACACACGCATAAGAGTAATTATTATATCATTTGTCATTTGGATCAATTGGTTAAGATTTTATGTTTTTAAATAGAGGCCTTGAGTTTGAGTTATGATTATACTTCAACAATTCAACATCAAACCTAATTGTTGTGTCGTCCTTCTCTTTTATTTAACTACTAACTTCATTATTATAAATATCCATAATCTTAACCGAAAAATGTTTGATTCTCCATCCCCCCATGAGTTACTGATCACTTAGGTCACCCCATAGATGACATTGGTTTCTCCTTTTAATCTTATAATTTAAACAAATTGACACAGTCCAATGAACTTGTCACGTTTCATGAAAGTGACCTTGTCTTGATTAATGTAGGGATGACGATCATGTGCATACTAAGGATTTTAATAATTTTATTTGACATTAATTAGGATATTATTTACTATGAGGACAATTTCTCATTGCGTTAGCATCACCATTTCTTCAACAATATTCAATGATAGATTTTATGTAATATTAGAATATTGATGCACAAGCAACTACCATGTGCAATGGAAGGGGAGTCTCTTTACTTTTTTTTTCCTCCATTTCCCTCTATTTCTCTTATCCCCATCATTTATTAATTTTATCACTTAAAAAAATTATTTAATAAAATAATTTGAATGGTGGAGATGGAAAAAATGTAAGAAAATGGAGGGAAAAAATAGAGATCCCTCTCCCGAAGGTCGGCAAGTTTAATTATCAAAGATATTAATGCTTGGTTGAGACAATAACTCAGTA